ATAATTTTTAAATGCGTGGCCAGATGATGGTGATGACTATTAGAGGAAGAGAGAATGGACAAAGGAAAAGAAATATGATAAATAAAAATAGGAAATAATAGGAGAGTTCTAGTTGTTTACCAAGTAGTTCTCACCTAAACCTTTGGATAATTTGAGAGGCTAGAACTCTCATTTTTGTATACAGAAATAATAAAAGTGAGATAGTTTTTTCACCATTATCACGGTTCTAATATTTTTTTAGTTCTAATTGACTTACACTATAAAATTTTATCCTAGTTCTAGTTTTAATTGATTAACACTATAAAGTTTTATCCCACAAATTATTCTATCCTATGTTTTACATTTATGCAAGGATATATAGCCTTTGGACAAATCGTACACAATAATAATCTTATTGTGAAGCCCTCACTTTTAAGTATGCCAAACCTAATATTGAGGAGGTCAAAAAAGGGATACGCGTGAAAAAAGTATGATATCCTCTTGAAACTTTGAGTGTTAGGAAAGAGAAAATAATGCTTTTAGGAAAGCACCAATCAAGTAAAGATAAGACCAACCTCACCCTTTTGAGGCGGTTAAAGGAAGAAAGTACTTTCGTGTGAAGATTGGCTTTTGAAAGGTTTTGAGTGCAGTTCGAAAGGCATTTCACTTTCTGTTGCTTGGATACCTTGAAAGTTTGCCAACCTTAGTATCATCGCATTTGTGGAAAAAGGTTTCATTTAATACTATTAAGTGAAGACATGACCTATAGCAGCGCAACAACGGATTGAACGTAGCAAAGACTTTTGTACAGCTTAAGAAAGTTGTGCATAATTAAGAACCTTTACGACATAGTATTTCCTAATTAATTAATAGAAAATTACTTATCCCTTTAAGCTATTGAGCAAATGGTAATAAGCCCTTATTTCAAAGGAGCAACCTGACGAGCATACATGTGAGTTTTCATGCCAGGGACATTAATTTATGAGCATCTTGGTGGGTATACAGCAATAACGAAAGTAGCGCAACGATGGGTTGAACATACCAAAGACTTTTGTGCGGCTTAAGAAAGTTATGCATAATGAAGAGCCTTTTATGGCATGATTTTCCTTAATTAGAGCAAATTTATCTCTCTTTAAACCTCAATTCAACGAAACAAGTTGGCCATATGTGTGTGTATAATATATATATAATATGAGATTAATGGGTATTCTTGTCATAGGAGGGGATTTCCTCCTTGACGCCACTAAAATCACATGATTGAGCGATATTATGGATGATCCGCATCGTTGAACTTGATCTACATATTCTAAAACCCCAACACACCAAGTTTGGGGTGAATCCATCGTCGTTTGACCCTCCATCGAGACATGTGAAAAGTTCTACTCATTCAAAACCGTTAAAATTGATACGAGTGGATGAAGGGTCAAACGACGACGGGTTCACTCCAAACTTGGTGTGTTGGGGTTTTAGAATATGTAGATCAAGTTCAACGGAGCGGATCATCCACAATGTCGCTCAATCATGTGATTTTAGAGGCGTCAAGGAGGAAATCCCCTCCTATGACAAGGATACCCATTAATCTATATATCTCTCTCTCTCTCTCTATATAATCAAAAATATACCTATATGTACTACTAGTAGTATATATACTAGGAGGAGAGAGGGAGATGAGATGAGGGGAGAGAGAGAGAGAGATGAGAGAGAGAGATTAATGGGTATCCTTGTCATAGGAGGGGATTTCCTCCTTGACGCCTCTAAAATCACATGATTGAGAGACATTATGGATGATCCGCTCTCGTTGAACTTGATCTACATATTCTAAAACCCAACACACCCAAGTTTGGGGTGAAATCGTGTCGGTTTGACCTCCATAGCCATGTGAGAAAGTTCTCTCTTGCTCTCGTCATACTAGATATATATATATTACTCATATATATATATATTATATTATATAATATGTGTGTGTGTGAGAGAGAAGAGGGAGAGAGAGATGAGAGAGAGAGAGAGAAAGAGAGAGAGGTTTAGCCCAAATTAACGATTTTGCTGATCTCCATAAGGAATTTATGAGTATCTTGCTAGATATATAGCATATTTTCAAAGTTTTAGCGCGCCCAACCAAAGTAGAGGCAAAGACCTGAGGATAACGAATTGTAACGAGGCTTTGAATTTATGGCAAGCCTCAGCAATTAGGTCGACGAATCCACTGAGATTCACATGAGGGTGAACAAGTGCCAAACCGAGAAGAATCATGTGGCTTAAAAATATCTCAAAAGCCCATGGGCCCGGCTACGAGCCAAAGAAAGTGGAGAGTTCAAAAGGTATATGCAGCATGAAGAAACGGGCGATTCCACAAGAGTTGCATGCACACTGTATTTCCATTACATATTTGCTGGATTCTCAAGTTGGGAAGTAATGACACATAATGATGAGTCATTTAGAAATGATACCTTAATTTTGTCCTTCCTTTAGCAAACCTAGTAGTTTTAACAACTTTTGATCCTTTGCCTGTGTCATTCTCCACTAAGTTCCACTTGTAAACCATTATTATTAAACCAGTTTACTCGCTTTGGGGACATTATGCATACCCTTAAAAGCCATGCACCTAAATGATTCTTCGAGGGTCATTTTTAAATCGTTAGATCTATGATCAAGATTAAAATGGCATTGCAATAGTAGGATGAACCTCAGATCTACGTAGTTTTTATGAGGCCCATGGATCTGGGTCACTTTTTCTGGATGCATTTATATCATTAGGCTCTCTCAGCCATCAGCAAAAATGAGGGCAAAAAATTTGCCTTCACCACGACTTTATATTATTAAAAAGATGGTATAGCTGATAGAACACATAAAACCTAGGAAAATAGGAAACAATTTACACCGAAGGTAGAGTAACACAGTTATGCAAATATTACTCAAAACTCTATAGCTTAGCTTGCACCTCAATAGTTGCTCGCAATCTTTGAAATCGAAGAGTAAGTTCCCAGCACAGCACTAATGATGCCTAAACCAAAAATGCCGCAGCATAAAATGACCTGACATCAAAAAAATCAAAGAAGCAGATTAATAGAACCATATATCATACTCAAGTTTCAACATTCAAATATTAAAGCATGCGTAAGTTGATTTATTTCTTTTGCACTTGTCATGGGATCTGTGAGTGCGAGGGTTAACTTAACAGGGTAAGTCATGATACCTGCAAGGTCGTAGCTTTTTTCCTTGCTATCTTTAAGAAGCAGAGAGCTGGCATAATGACTGCCTGAATAAAGAAACAATTTTCAATTAATCTCTTATATTTCTTCTGTACAAAAGTTGCTAGGAAGTCGCATAAGGAAAATATCACAATCGACCTAAATTTTAAGGAATCCATGAAAATGTACGACATAATTAAAGTAGGTGCTCACTGCTAAGAAACACCACAATTTTGTTTGGTCACCAGATAGTTACTGAAGGTTGTGATTATTACTAGGATTAAATTATTATTTTGGTATTAATATAACTACTGTAACCATCACGTATCTGACAGAATCAATTATCATACAAGAAAGTGACAATAGGGTATTAATGTACTTTATAGGGTACGAAGAGATTTGCATAGGCATAAGAACTGAAACTATCATAATCACAGTAGTTATTGACTTGTGTATGGGAATAGATTAAGGGCTCACCTAAGCAATCAGGAGAGATGTGAAGAAATGGCGAAAGAAGCTCGAGAGAAGTTCAGGAAATTAGCAGGAATCAGCCAGGCAGACTGGCGGTTGACCGCGAGTCAGCGACGGTCGACCGCGAACATGCACAGGAGAGCAGGAAGCTCTGGAGCTGAAGGCGGTCAACTGTGACGGTCGACTGCGCGGACCATGTAGGCAATTTAACTCTCGGGAATTGGTTCGATCGACCGTTGCGGTCGACTGTGGATTTCCTGTAATCGATTTATTCTCTGTCGGGGGTGTTCGGTCGACCGTCACGGTCGATTGTCGCGGTCGACCGTCACGGTCGACCGTGTAGCGGGTTTGCAGTTGGGTCAGTTATTTGACCCAATTCATTTTGGAGCTGATATATAACTCTAATCCTGATTAGTTAGGTTAACCAAGGACGTTTTTGAGCAGTCTTTAGGAGAGGATTGTTGCATCCAATTGTGCGAAATTTGTGAGAGATCTAGAGCTTTGTTTTAGGGTTTGATCGGTGAGATTTGTAACTCTATTTGTATTCTCTTGATTTCTAATAGTAAGAACTCCCCCCTCCTTGCCCCGTGGACGTAGGCAACTTGTCGAACCACGTCTCTTGATTTCTAATAGTAAGAACTCCCCCCTCCTTGCCCCGTGGACGTAGGCAACTTGTCGAACCACGTTAAACCTGTTGTCTTACTGTGGTATTGTATTTGGCTTATTAGTTGTGATTTATCTCTTGTTCTTGTTCATGTCGTTTCGAGGCTTCCACCGCGCACAACAATTGATATCAATGCTTCAGGCTTGTTTGAAGGATTCGGTGAAGAATTCCTATCTAAAGAGTTAGATCGACAACATGGGAGAAGTAAGAACATCAGGTTTGTCTCTTACGAAGGCGATACAGAATATGAACATCAATAACACGAAGATTGATGTTCCGAAGTTCGACGACAAGATTAATTTCGGATTGTGGAGGTGTTAGGTGATGGACGCTTTGGATGCACAGAATTTGGAGGAGACTCTTGAGTTACAAGAGAAACCCGAAGACATGGAGGATAGGGTTTGGAAGAAGATGAATAATAATGCTTGTGGAGTTATTCGGTGATGCTTGACGCCGGATCTTATTTATGATGTTATGAACGAGACGTCGGCGAAGAGAATGTAAGAAACACTCAATGAGAAGTATCTTACTAAGAGCATTAAGAATCGGCTTCACTTGAAGAAGATGTTTTACCAGTTCAAGATGAAGAGGGGAGTTTCCATCAGGGAGCATGTCAATAATTTTACGAAGCTACTTTCAGATATGACCAATGTGGATATCATGGTTGAGGATGAAGACAAGACGATGTTAATTTTGTGTTCGTTGCCGGAAGATGATTATGATACGTTCGTTCTAACTATAATCAATGAAAAAACTACTGTTAGCTACAATGAGGTGATCTCAGCTTTGGTGAATTATGAGTTCAGGAAGAGTGACGGTGAACCCTCCAAGAAGGCATCGGGAGATGCATTAGCTGTTTGAGGCCGAGATCCAAACCACCGCCAGTTCAACCGCTAAAAGTCAAAGAATAGGAGTGCCTATAAGAGTGTTCGTAGAAACAAACGTCGGTATTGTAAAGAAGGACATTTGAAGATTGACTGCCCAAAATGGAAGGAAAAAACCAGAAAGAACAAGGGGAAAGCTGCAAAGCTTCAGAAGTGAATGTTGTAAAAGCTATTGATGAGCATTTAGATTCAGATTCTTCAGGCTATTCGTGCCATGCACTACCGTCGGTTTGCTATGCTGATTCCACGGAGTGGATGATGGATTCGAGAGCTACATATCACATTTGCCCTAGTAGAGATTGGTTCTCCAGCTTTGAAGAGTTGGAAAGAGAGGATATCGTGCTTATGCGTAATGACCACGTATGCCCTATTAGTGGTATTGGTTTAGTCCGGATTAGGATGCATGATGGAGTGATTACGGAGTTAAAAGAAGTGAGGTTCGTGCCGCAGTTGACGAAGAACATCATTTCTCTTGGGACTTTGGAGGTAGTTGGATATAGAGTGATCTTAGAGTATGCTACAGTGAAGGTCACGAAGGGTTCTATGGTGGTGATGCGAGGTGTCAGGGAAAACAAACTATACTACTTGAAGGGCAAGACAGTTACAGTGGGTCTGACAGCTTCTATCACTACAGAGGAGGACACTATCACTTTATGACACATGAGACTTGGACACACAGGTGATAAGTTCTTATAGTCATTGGTAAAACAGTGGCTATTGAAAGGTACTAAGACCTGCAAGATAGAACTATGTGAGCATTGTGTACTTGGGAAGAAGACTAGAGTAAAGTTTGGCACCGCTATTCACAACACCCGAGATACATTGGATTACATTCACACAGATATTTAGGGTCCTTCCAAGAACACATCTCTTGGTGGGGCCAATTGTTATCACTTTCATTGATGATTATTCCAGGAGGAATTGGGTATACCCTATGAAGCATAAATATCAGGTCCTGGATATTTTTGTGGAGTGAAAAAAAAGTAAAACTACAAACAGGTAGAAAAGTGAAGACTCTACGTTCAGATAATGGTGGAGTACAAGAATGATCAATTTCTGTAGTTTTGTCGGGATCACGGCATTAGAAGACACTTCACAGTTCGAGAGATACCGCAACAAAACGGGGTGACTGAGAGATTGAACCGTACATTACTGGAGAAGGTGCGATGTATGATGACACAGAGTAGATTGCCTAGATCCTTTTGGTCTGAGACGTTGGTTTATGCGAGTCATCTCGTGAATAGGTTACCGTGCACTGCGATAGACGGGAAGATTCCTTTGGAGCGTTGGTTTGGTTCGATAGCTAGTGACTATGAGTCGCTTCGGATATTTGGATGTTTAGCTTATTACCATGTCAGCGATGGTAAATTAAATCCGAGGGCAAGGAAAGTTCTTTGTGGGATTTAGAGATGGAGTTAAAGGCTTCAAGTTATGGGATCCACAAGACAAGAAGATAGTTATTAGCAGAGATGTCACATTCGATGAGACGTACATGATGAGACCTCGAGTCCCTCAACAGGTGGAGGGAGACCAGATAGTTGAGATATTACAGCAGGTGGAGGATGATGTGACTCCACCCACTTCAGATAACATTGTATCTATTAAGACTCCTACAGAGGTGATACTAGGAGGAGATAAAATGATAACCGGGCAGATAGAGGATACAGTGGATGATGAGACTCAGGAACAAGGTCATGTTCAGGGGTCCATTGCAGCAGATAGACCGAGGCGGGTAATTCGTTAGCCAACTAGGTATAATGATGTCATGGTCGCATTTACATTATCAGTGAAGGTCGTTGATGATATGGTTCCATCCACATTCAGGGTGGCAGAACCTACCCCGATTCGATCAGGTGAAGGGAAGCTATGAAGGAGGAGATGTAGTCTCTTCAGAAGAACGACACTTGGACACTTGCATATCTACCTAAGGATAAGAAAGTTATTGGGTACAAGTGGGTATATGCGAAGAATGAGTGATCTTTTATTGGGGACATTCGGTTCAAAGCCAGATTGGTTGTCAAAGGATATACACAGCTTGAGGGCATTGATTACAACGAGGTGCTATTGGGTGCAAGTGGGTATATACGAAGAATGAGGCATCTTCTATTAGGGACATTTGGTTCAAAGCCAGATTGGTTGTTAAGGGATATGCACAGCTTGAGGGCATTGATTACAACGAGGTATTTTCACCCGTTGTGAAACATTCGTCGATTCGGATTTCATTGGCGTTGGTGGCACAGTTGGATTTGAATTTAGTCCAGATGGATGTAAGGACAACATTTCTACACGGAGATTTAGATGAGGAGATCTACATAACACGACCCTTGGGATTCAAAGCTGCAGGAAAAAAAGAATTGGTTTACAAGCTGAAGAAGTCTCTTTATGGTTTGAAGCAATCGTCGAGACAGTGGTATAAGAGATTCGACATATTCATGATTGGTCATGGGTACACGAGGAGCCCATATGACTCATATGTTTACATGCATAAGCTACAGGATGGTGAGCACATATATTTACTTTTATATGTTGACGATGTGCTTATTGCTTCTAAGAATTCTTTGGCTATTCGAAAGTTGAAAGAAGAGCTATCATCCGAGTTCGAGATGAATGATCTTAGAGAAGCAAAAAAAATATTAGGTATGGAGATCGAGAGAGACAGGGTAAAGGGGAGATTGAAGCTTACACAGAAGAGCTATTTGCAGAAGATATTAAAGAAATTCAGCTTTGATTGCAATGCAAAAGTAGTTAGCACACCATTGGCTCCTCACTTCAAACTTTCAGCGTTGATATTGCCTGTTTCAGTTGAGGACAGAGATTATATGTCGAAAATCTCATATGCCAGTGCAGTAGGTAGCTTGATGTATGCGATGGTGTGTACGAGGTTAGATTTATCACAGGCCGTGAGCATGGTATCGAGATACATGCACGATCCCAGGAAGGGTTATTAGGAGGCCGTGAAGTGGATTCTATGGTATGTTAGAAGAACCGTGGATGTTGGTTTGGTATTCCAGAAGGATGAGAAGAATGATCAGGATTGTATTGGTTACGT